ACTGTTTTGTTAGATTTTCCATTCTCAATGGGAGTTCTGCTTAGAACATTTCAAGTACAAATTTGTCACTAATAATTAATTGCTTCAGTCTTACTGTTTGAGTTATATTCAGCTGACCCTATCTTGTACTTTAATACCCACACTTATTTGATAGCAAGATTTCACAACTTTGAAAATAATCCACTGCTTGTTGTTCCGTGGAAAGCAGGTCACACCTCTTTTTTATTGTTGTTCTTTTTTCAAATTGTGAGAGGGGAACTTCAACAATTACAGTTATTTTATATCCTTATTCATAAAAGCAAAACATGACATAATTGTGAATGATTCGAGATAACATCTAATGACAGTGAAATGGTATAAGTATATTGTGCTTATTCATGATTGGCTGTAAATCATGCTACTTGGCGAAAGTTTTACTGTTGACAGGCTGATACTTTCCTGCCAGCTCTCAGTGAACTGTTAAAGAACTGCCGTTCCGTTTTCACCAGAGTGCTGATCATTGTTTCAGTAAAGTGAATAGGTTCCCAGAGCAGATTGTCCATCTCTAACTTACACAGTCACCGCCCACTTGTAGTGAGGAGCTAAACAGATATTGTAACAATTAAATTCAAAGCTAATTGGTAGTGTAAGACAACACAAATCAATTTAATCTAGCAGGTTGAATCAGAAACCTACACCAGCAGGATAATAATTTTGGCGGCAAAAATGTGAAGCCGATATTCAAGGTTAACAGCTGGTAGAATTATTAAGGTGTGCTCACTATAGTGAAATCATGTTCTAACTAAATTTTTTGCCACTTCAATTTAAATACACTCACGTTCATCTTACTGATTTACATGCTGGCAAAGATAATGCGAGTAGAATAAGAAATTAAAATAACTATTAGTATAAGCACTAGAACCCTACATAAGACATTTTACTGTATATAAGATGTTTTATTTAGGCTACTGAATAAATACAAACAAGACATAATTTATGGTACAGATGAAACTGGATTGCATTACCAGAACACATAATAATATTTAAAAGTAAAATAGCAGTTGCTTAAGAATCTGAAGAAATAAGTTACTAGGTTATTAACATGCTATACAGACCGAACAGTTAAGAAGACAGGACTGGTTGTTTACAAAAGCAAAAAATCTCAGTGTCTGAAAGAAGTCAAGAATTTACCATAGCAACAAGAACTCGTGTATGACAAATAGTATTTTTACTAATGTTCTTTTGAAATGTGACAGTGAATTGAAAAATGAAAAAATAGCTTTATTAATTAGATAACTGTGTAGCGCACAAATCTCTGATCTCTTTCTGAAGAACATTACTGTCTCTTCCTGTAAATACAATTTCTAACATTCAGCCTTTAATTTAAAGGTATTATAAATGTTTTCAAATGTCTTTACAGATAGATGTTAAATTAATGATGAATAGAACTGAATTTTGTGAAAATGCAAGCATTTTGAAGGAGATAAGTAAATTAATATCTTTGTTAGACATGCTGTTTTCGAAAATGTGCCTTTTATACAGAAGAAACTTCAAAGGAATTGCGAACTATAACTACTGTTTACGATATCAGTGAGAGAATTTATGAAGATTAATTTTTAGAATATATTAATTTACAACAATATTGAGACAACATGTATGAAAATTGACTGTAAAAGCATTAAAATAACTGCAGAAACTGACAGTGAAAATTATACAGAAAAAACTGATGACATGCTATCATAAATCAAAACACTGCAAATTCTAAGAAAAATTCTTAAACTGAATTCCTGAACTCGAAAAAAAATTCTTGATTCTTGAACTGAAAGAGAGCTGGTCAAAAATATTATCAACACTTTTATGAAATTGAAACTGTAATTGAAGAACTGTTGTTGAACAATATGAATCAAACACAGATAGAATAGTTACTTCTATGAGTTAAAATTTCATCAAGAAAGTAATTATAAAAATATTTTTATAAAAAATTTAAAAATTGTATAAGTAGTTTAATTTTAGTATTAATTTTTAACTATTATTTTTGGATTAATTAATGAATTGGTTGTTAGTTATTTTCCTTGAAAAGTTTAAAATTGATATCTCGGTATGTAATACACAAATCTCTGTCTTTTCAACTCAGATACTTTGGAAACAGTGATTTTAATAAGCAGTGGCTATTGTGTAATAGTCTGGTGAAATTTGTGCCTATATTAAAGCAACTTTTGGAAAATTTACACATACTGATGTTTGAAGTATGTGATAAGTTTTCCAATTTGTGACTTAATTAGTATTTAGAAACATATTCATTTATTTACAAGTTAAAAATATCTATGCACAGAAATAAAATGTATTATGAAAATGCAATCTTGAAAGTAAAAATATAAAACAATTTCTTCTAAGCTTATTGTTACTATGGCAACTTTAGATAAAGTTTATCCATTGATACAGTGATCCCCTTCCAGTCGGAGGACAATCTAAGAAGTTTGGTATGGTTGTACTGCTTTTACACCTCTTCCAGCTTAGTGAAAGTTCACAATATCCTAGATTCAGTTTCAGACTCTTTGTTGTTATTTATGTGATTTTCCTCTCAAGGGTCTGCTAGTATGTATGTAGGTTTTAATTGATCCGCAGATACTGTAATTTATGGCCATTTATATCAACAAGTTGGATGAAAGGCAGTAGTTCTTGTTCTGTGAGTGAAAGAATTAACTTTTGAAGTTTGTTCCACGATTGGTTGTTATGATACCAGGTACTTCAAATATAGCAATCCATCAAGATTAAAAAGACTCTGCTATAGTTTCAGAAGTTTGGTTAGTCATTGGAAAGCTTCAAAATAGCAATGGAATTCAAATAATTTAATATAAATATAGCCAGAAACGTATAAATAAGCACTTTCACAGAATTTTAATCAGGAAAAGACAAAAAATGGTTTGAACATTTCACAGTGTTTTTAATGAAAAAAAAAAAGTTTTTTATGAACTGCTCATAACATTTCTGGAAATTATTTGACCGATGATATAGCCTTAATCTTAATATACTTAGAGACATTTCTTGTTTAAGGAGAACATGATAAGGTAAAATAAAAAAATAGGCAAAAAAAGCAATCTTAGTAGATGTTTTCATAATTTTTTTTTCAGGGGGGAGGAGTTCTGAAACTCTGCAGAACTCTTTTTCCCCCCCTTGCTTCCTTAAGAAAAGGGACCTGTGTCTGACTGTTTTCAAAATCTATCCCAAACTATATTTTTTTGGGGGGCTTAATTTTAGTATTTAATTAAAATTGCAACCAAAGTGTTCAGTGACTTAAGCCTCCAAAGGTTATGAGTGTAAAATTCCATATAGAAGGATGGCTTTCTATGAAAATATCTGCCAGCTGTGGATCTATCTGATCTCAGGTTGGATGTATATTAAAAGAAAGGAGTCTGAGTACATTCAGAGGGTTAATTCCTTATTTGGCAACATTCCTCTGTCACTTGGCTATTTTTATAATCTATTTTGATTTTTATCTGGCAACTTCATTTCAATTAAAAAATTATTCTATATTTTAGTACGTATTAACCAAACTGTTGATCACAATGAGCAAAGTAGCTTTCATATTTCCGTATACGAAAGGATGAGACTGATAACAATATCTGAATATCTTGCATTAAGTGGCATCTACTGTAAGAATTTGCAAGATAAAAGTATTCAATCAAATCAGAATATCGGCAGTTTGTTACCCAAAACAAATAGTCCACATCAATATTTATATAAATATTGTGAAGCCAATTCAATGACAAGCAGATTGACTTGAATGTATGTGGCAGCAGTGTACTGAAAATGGAGGCATGTATTTGCATAGAAATGCTGTTAATTTTTTAGACATTGAAATGCTGCTAATTTGTCTATCAGTTAACGCAAAGATTTAAATTTCTCTATAAATAAATCTGGGCCTTGAATATTTATAATTATTTTCAAGAATTGAAGAGTGCAGGGCAATATTCAAAAGACATGGAGTCTGTGGGAATGTGAGTCAGCAACCGATTTGCTATTTCGCCATCAGATTCATCTAATGCTGGTCTAAGGAAATAGCATCAGTAAAATTTTGTATGAAAGAATTCAACATAGCTGATACTACTGTTATAATTAGGAACAATTATTTCGGGAAAATATGCATCTTTAAAATTTGAGTCAGGAAAATAGAAAAATAAATGGTGAAGCCTTGGTTGTTAGAGACTGATGAAAGCCTGTTCTTGAAAAGAAAAAGTAATGTTCAACGCATTCTGCTGCCTCAGTGTATTTTCGGCAGTATTTGCTGGAAAATTAAATAAACCTTTCTTGTTACAGTGCCTGGTCAAAAAACTACAACTTTGTTAAATGCAGTCAATGAAAATATCAAAATAGAAACAAACATTTATTCCAATTCCTAGGCTGCCTGTGAAATAGAATTCCAAAAAGCTGGTTTCGAGCTTTCCAAAGTGAATCACAAATTCAATATTGTGATTCCAAATTCTGGGGTATATATGCAAAATCTCAAGCAGGTATGAAGTTCTTCAAAATGATGGAGCAAGAAATATTGGAGTACAGCAGAAGAAAAAAAAAAAAAAAAAAAAAAAAAAAAAAAACATTTGAAGTCATACTTAGCAGAGCTCATGTGATGGCAGAAAGTTGTTGCTGGGGGTAAAAAAAACCCTTCAAAACTGTTTTAGAAGTGATTGCCAAGCATTTTTCACCTGAAATGAAGAAAAACTAAGACTAATAAAACATGCTTTTTAATCAGCCAGTGATAATGCAGTTTATATTGTAAAGTTTTGATTTTCAATTAACAGCCAAGTGTAAAAATTTATTATCATATACTTGCCAGCTCTTGTGGTCAGATGTATCTATGCAAAGCATAACCTTAAACACCTGCATAGGGTTGCCCTGATGAATGTTATTATGTTGAATTAATTACTTTATTAACGAACAATAGTTTGAATTAACATATATGTTTTATCTGTGTTTAAAAAATTTGCTGATGATAATTCAAATACACATTTTCTTTGTTTTAGGTGCAGCAATCTTTACATAAAACAGAACAATCATGTAATACTCCATGCAAACGTAGTAAGAAAGTCATACCAATGTAAGATTTCTTTTAATTTTATTTCTTTTCCCCTTTTTTGTTTATACCATGTAAACGTGGTCATAGTAAAACATGATCAGGTTCAGTAAAATTAAGAAACAGCACACAAACTTTTTTCTACTTACTACTACTGTTGGATTAATTATATATCTATTATTATTATATTACCAGACTATTATGTTATTACTATATTACCAGACTATTATATTACTACTATATTACCAGACTATTCTTATTAACCAGGGACATTGCCCTTGGTTAATGTCCCTGGTTAATAAGAATACACAGAATCTTGAAAACAGTCTACTGTAATGTCATGTACTAAGTAATTAATCTTTGCCTTTTATTCTGAATTGCTTGACTCAAATTTTTAAAAGTCTTAAAATAGACTTTTGAGTTTACTGTTTATGTCTTGAGATAAAATTTCTTATTCATTTTAAAATTGGTGCACATGAATAGTCCTGGTTGAAGTCATTTTAGATTTTAGCTTATCTAATGTATACTGACTCTGAAAAAGGGGGGGGATAGTTCTGTATTTTCTGTTCTATCCGTCTGGTTGGTGAAATTCGGCTTGCATTTTTCATGTCACGAAAGCACAACTGGATATATATTACATGTATATATACTGTTCTGACATTCATATTTTGACATAACACTGGACTTTTTTCTAAAATGACATGCCAATTTTTTTTCCATATTTTGATTCTATGCCTCAAATTCCACCAAAGTACCAAGTTTTGTAAAAATCTCAGCAGCAATTTTTTTAATTAAATTTATTTAATTTCTTCTTTCGTAATTCAAAATTTAGGTGTAACCGAAGTAAAATTCATTTTTTTCATATTTATTTTAAGAATGTGTAATTTTAAATAATTTTTATAAATTTTTTTAGTAATAGCCTGTAAAATGTTTACCATCATCTTCTCTAATAATGATGCAAAAAGTACGATACATACATTTTTCAGCCTGATGCAATATTGAGCCCACATAAAAAATTTCCATAGAAAAATAAGCAAATTCTTTTCCATTATATCAGCTACAATGGCAGGCAGTTTTTAATATTTTTTCGTCTTTCTAATCAAATGGTCGTAAAAGCTCAAGTTCCATCCAATATTTCACTTATATTCAATTTTAGTCGATTAAATATGACAAAAAGTATCATATTTGAGCAGATATCAATAATGTGAACAAGCAAACAAACACAGAGACATTCTTCTTTATATGTATAGATTTTGTAAAACTTAAAATTTTTTAATTAACTAACTACGATTTGAAAGTGAGCAGTAGCAACACTTTTCGAAATAAAGCATCTTTTTTTTTTTTTTAATTTCCAATGCGCGAGACTGTTGTCCCTCAGGGAAGGTTAGCGCTTTCAGAGTTTTTAATTAATATTTTGGCTGATTAAAGTCATACGAAGATGGGAATAGTCTAAATGGCTTCCCACAAATTTTTGGAATCGGAATAATGTATTTAATGTTTGGCAATGCTATTTTTATTTCATCGTAAACTTTAGAAATTTTTTACTAACAAACTCTAGAATTTGAAAGCGAGAAGTGGCAACAACTTTCAAAATAAAGCAGATTTTCATCTCCAGCTTGCAAGACTGTTGCCACTCTAAAAAATGAGGGTGATGTAAAGCAAGAATTTGATGGTAAATGGGATGATGTTTCTTAATTACATTATAGCCTCATTCACATGCAACACTTTTTCTCACAGCCACAGTTTGTATTAGGGAGAAACGGGAATATGAAGCAGTTTCGCCTTCAGTACTGGTTCAGATGCACATCGTCTTCCATCCCTTAAACCCATAAGCCACTACGAGCAATTAATGATGTCATAAACGGGAATCAGACTGGTGGATTTCTAACGTTTACTTACATCTTTTTTGATATTGTTTACTATTCCTATAGAACACCATCGGAGTTTAACTATAATTAATTAAAATACACCTAAATTAATTTAAAATTCAATTTATATGCCAGACCAAATGATTAAAAGAAGAAAAGATACCCATATGCTGCTGAGCGGTTTTAAATAAAATGTTTTGTTGCTGCTAAAATTTTAAACTTTGCTTTTTGAAAAAATGAGTAAAACGTCAAATTAATAGCATTAATATTAATTATAAATGTTTTAATATTGATTTTAAACGTTTTAGAAAATATATTATAATTAATTCATCTTTTAAAATTGTTTTGAACGTGTTTTACGAAGATTTTAAATAAAAGCTTTTAATTTATGTTTATATTAACCAATTGAATAGCACTAGATTTTATTTTATATATATGTAATGAAATTCAGTAATAAAATTTTTAAGGAATTTGAAATGATTTAAAGACCATATAGACAGCTTATATTATTTAAACTGTGGTTTCTCAGTTTGCATTTTTTTTTTTTTTTTTTTTTTTTTTTTTTTTTTTGATAAATCCTTTTATTTAAAGTCCTAAAACTTATATAGATATGGCTTAAATTATTTAATATTTTTACCACTTAATTAAAATTACATACTTTAGAGAAACAAGAATGAGTTTTGGAAAATACTGAAAAAAATTATTTGAAGTGGAAATGGGATTAAGATCATATTTGTTTCAAAGTTTTTTTGCATAAAAATTTGTTTTTATTTTTTCTCAGAAACTAATTCATTAATTGCAAAATCAATCCTTAAAGTTATTAAGATAAGAACTTTCTAATAAAAACAATAAGATAATATGGGGGGAATCATTGAAAATTTTAGGAGAAGAATGACATTTTAATTGTTAAACTTTTCTTCCAAAAATTTTAATAAAAAAAAAATACTGGCAAAAAATTTTTTCTCAGCTTAAAATTATTTTGTCTTACAGAACCATTTATTAACATTCATAAAAGTAGATGAAAGTTCTTAAATAAAAAAAAAAAATCATTCAAAAGGTACCAAGTCCCCTTGTCGAGTTGAAGCTGATATGCGCATCATTAGTTTTAATTTGAACGTTATTTCTGAAATACCCAGCATCAGGTAACATTGTCCATAGGGTTTTATGTAATTTTTTGGATGATATTGTATCCTCAGATATCTACCAAATGGCTGGCAGTCGTAACCATGGTCTCGGCACCTGAAGAATTCTGAGTAGGCCACATGTTATTGTTATATTTCTACCGTATTTTCTTTTTTCTAAACAGTGTTACCAGTTTTTGATATACTAAGAAAAAAGGGAAGATGTCTTTGATATAGCAATATAACAGAGTTGACGAAAACTAAGATAAAAATATAATTAAAAAAAAAAAAAAGATTGTGATTTTTTGAAAATGTGTGTTATGTAAAGCAAGAATTTGATGGTAAGGGAAGATGTTTCTTATTTATACTATGAAGTTGATTTATTATTAGTATCAATGCTAAAATGTTTTGCAAACCATCAGCAAATGGCTGGCAGTTGTAACCATGGTCTCAGCACCTGAAAAGTTCCGAGTAGGCCACATGTTGTTATTATATTTTTACCGTATTTTCTTTTTCCCAAAAAGTGTTACTAGTTTTTGATTTACTAAAAAAAAAGGGAAATGCTAAGGACTGCTGGCCATTTGGCAACATATACTGGTGATTTATCAATAATATTAATGCTCTTTAAATATTGGTCCTTTAATAATATGGAAAATAAAACATAGAATATTTATGGTTAATAAATGTTACTGTGGCCTTAAAAAACAACTTAAATTCAAAATAATCAACATAAAAATTAAATGTATATAAAACTTTAATAACACCTATTGTTCTTTACGGAAGTGAATTTTGGATACTTAGCAGAGCAAAAAAAGTCCTGATATCAACTTTTGAAAGAAAAATGTTGAGAAAGATCTTTGGTACAACAAAATGGCATGTGGAGGATTCTCTATAACCATGAACTATATGGAAAATATAGGAAATATGGTAAAACTGATATTGCGAGAATTGTAAGGGCATCTCGTATCAGATGGCTAGGCCATGTGTTTAGATATGATGATGCATTTCCAAACAAAAAGATAACCTTTTCGAGAATCGAAGGAGTAAGACTAAAAGGAAGACCACCCACTAGATGGATAGATGATGTCGAGGAAGATTTAAGGTTAATTGGAGTTAACTGATGGAGGGCTATTGTGCCAATTGAGGTCAGGTAGAGGAAGCTTGGAGAGACAGCCTTGGCCTGTAACAGGCTGTAGAGCTTATGAAGAAGAGTATGCGAGAACCATTATATCCTCAAGATACATATTTTTAAAAAGAAATTAAAGATGGATCTAAATTATTAGTGTTATTATTATATATAAGGTTAATGAAAATATTTTGGTGCTTTTGTAATTTTATATTAAATTTTCAATGAATGAGCCTTTTAAAATCAGGCTTCATATGGTAACAATTTTTTGGTTGTTAAAAGTCCTTAATTTTAATCAACTTACATTTCTGTTTGTTGTTTTACGACTGCCATTTTGAGTGTGAATTAACATCTTGAAGGCGATGCTTTGACTTAATAATGGGTTTGAAAGGTTAATGTTTGAATTCTTTCCTATTTCTTAATAGAAATATATATATACGTAGGCTATTTTTTTCAACCTCTGATGGGCTATAAAGAAAAGACTGGTGAATATACAAGAAAGATTTTATTATCAAAAGTAATGTACAATACAGGTTATTTCTCTACATAATCATCTTCACGATTGAGGTATTTGTCATATCTGTGAACAAGCTTTGCAATACCCTCTCCATAAAATGTTCCTGCCCATGATTGGAAGTGAGTTGTGACAGTTTCTTTGAGCTCCATGTCATTATTGAATTGCTGCTCCCTAAGCCACTGCTTCAGTTCAGGGAAAAGATAAAAGTCACTTGGTGCTAGGTCGGGACTATAGTATGGTGGGTGTTCGAAAATGGTCCCATTGAAATTGCTGAAAGAGCCGTTGGGTTATGCTGTGAGAATGGGCATTGTTATGGATCAGAACAATACCAGAAGTCAGCATGCGTCTTTGTTTGTTTCAAATAGCTCTCCATAAGCATCGCAAAGTTTCGC